TGAATCCTCTTGTGGCGAAAGCAAGTGTTCGTCACAAAAAGATTCTTTTCCATACATACGGTGAGGAGTCTTTCACCATTCTCATTTATACTTTCATCACCAAACGTTCCCAATATCCTTCCATAACCAAGAAAAGGATTGGATTGCAGAGGCCCGTCTGGCTACGTTTACATGAATATATCTTGTTTTTATACCTAACAGAGTGCGTTTGTTGTATTTAAACTAGACTTGCAACGATTAGTATATACGGCCAACGTACATGTCTGAGAAATAATAAAATTCAAACACATTTAATGTCTGCCAACACGCGTCGGGGCAGCGCGGCAGACAATTCCTTGCCCGAAACCTAAAATCCTCTCAGAAATAAGGAAGGTCTGTGCCCAGCGTATGTAGGCTGTAACTTTTAACTTAAATAAATATTTTCATTTTACCAATTGCTTGACTACAATAAAACCTCTTACTTAAGTCTTCTGTATTTGGCCGAATAGTACCTAGTTATTCGCTATTCGATCGAAATGGATAAAAGTGGCCGAATACCGAATAATATTTGTTGCAAGTCTCATTTAAACCATTTAAAAAACCAGTTAAAGTACAATTTGTTTCAATTGATGTACGAAGCTAAGAGATTTTTGCCGACAGTCCTAGCTGTGACATGTGAGCGTATGGTACGGTATATTTTTTTAATTTAACTGGACTGAACTGAAAGGACTGGCCCATTGCTAAATTAGATTATGATTGATTGTTCTGTGATAAAACTTCAGTAATTTACCCACCAATTGGTGTGTAAATTACCCACCAACTAGTGTGTAAACTACTGTAGGTTATTTAACATTGTAAGGATATTTTTATTTTTCTTGAAATGCTAAAGTTATAATCCTGAGTATTTCTCCTTCTAAAAGTGGAGTGCTGGACGTAGGTCTTCCTAGATTTAATAAAAATTTACAATTATCGCACGCTTGGCACTGGCCTTCAGTCAGATTTGTCGCTGCTCTGGTCCAGGTGTTTGATGGAATTGGTTTTCATAATGATTTCTTATATTTACGCGAACACTACACATTGAAATAATACTAGTTTTTACGGAATTTATCGCGTATATTTAACTTTTTAAATACCCGACGTTTCGAACGCTTTACAGCACTCATGGTCACGGGCAGGACTGAAATGTTCAACGTCCATATGTCATAGTTAACCGCGGTTACCATAGATTAAAATTTAACTTTTGTTCCGATCTATACAGATCCTCACTATCAGATCATCCAGATTATCACTATACAGATCCGATATTATCCTCGCTAAAGAACACCGATTCCTTCCAAGGATGATTCGCGAGGCTATTGAAATCAAAAAACATCCTAATTTCAATAGAGAAGATGGCTGGGTGCTACCATCTGCTTGGGATCCTATAATAAATAAAATTAAATCCCAACCCAAGCATACAACTGCAAGACTTCAAGAAACCATAAGTTCATACTGTATAGATCGGAACAAAAGTTAAATTTTAATCTATGGTAACCGCGGTTAACTATGACATATGGACGTTGAACATATCAGTCCTGCCCGTGACCATGAGTGCTGTACAGCGTTCGAAACGTCGGGTATTTAAAAAGTTAAATATACCCGATAAATTCCGTAAAAACTAGTATTATTTCAATGGAATTGGTTTTGTCTTGATTCACCATCACAGTCTATTAAATGTTCACTGCTGGATATTAATCTCTTTCATAGATTTTTTATAGGATAGGCTGACAAACGAGCACACAGTCCACCTGATGGTATGTGGTTGCTGCGGCCCATAGACATCTACATCTATCCTCGATTACGAATCAAAATGCAGATGCGTTGTCACCCTTGAGGAATAAGATGGAATGCCTCGTTTCCAGTAAAAAAGGGCCTCAATATTTGCCATTGTTGCTACAATCAATTTGTCACACCTTTTTATTTTTATTTCTTATAAGGAAGACGCTGTCATCTGATTTGCTCCCTTCTGTGGCCTCTTACGACACGTACAAGTTGATATGGTGTATTGGATATTCTTACACGGTCACTATAATTATTACAAAATTATTACAATTTGAACGTAACTTAAAAAGCTTAATAATATAACATATCTCACGTCTGGTGCAAACGGGATAGTTCAACGATCATCTCTCAAATAATAATAATAATAATAATCAAGTCTTTCGTAATCGCAAAAATATGTCCGCTGCTTGGGTGGATTACAAAAAGGCATATGACTCTGTTCCACATTCATGGCTAAAGAGAGTTTTAGAAATATATAAAATAGATGACAAAATTTGTAAGTTTTTAAGTAAAGTAATGGGTCAGTGGAACACTGTCCTAAATCTACCAGGTGAGTGGCAAAGTAGTTCGATAGACTCTATAAATATTAAACGGGGTATATTCCAGGGCGATAGTTTGAGCCCAACTTTGTTTTGTTTAGCCCTGAATCCTTTAAGCACTGCTATTGAGGAATCCGGATTAGGGTTTCGGTTTCGAAAAGAAAACTCACCGATCTCACATCTACTTTATATGGATGATCTCAAACTATTCACATCAAAAGAGAGTAATCTACTATTATTGTTGAAATTAACACATAGTTTCAACAATGATATTAGAATGGAATTTGGAATAGATAAATGTGCTGTCATCAACGTAAATAGGGGCAAAATTAAAGATTGTAATAATTTTGCAATTACAAATGACTTACATTTCAGTTCTCTTTTTGAAACGGAAACCTATAAATACTTGGGCATGGCAGAAGCGCTAGGAATTAATGACAAAAATATTAAAGAAAATTCAAAAGTAAAATTTATGTCAAGATTAAAAAAAAGTTATCAAAAGTCATTTATCTGGCGGAAACAAAATTAGAGCATATAACTCCTGGGTAATACCTAGCCTTCTATATACTTTTGGCGTTACAAGAAGGTCTCAAACGGAATTGGATGACTTAGATAGACGAGTCCGTACATTAATGACTACGCACAGAATGCACCACCCACGATCATCTGTCATGAGGTTGTATCTTCCAAGAAAAGATGGTGGACGGGGCTTATTAAACATTAAAAACCTACACAACCGTGAAGTATACAACCTCAGAGACTATTTTATTAAAAAAAAGAAACATCACACATTCATAATGACGTAGTGATTAATGACAAATCATTAACCCCGCTTAATATGTCGGCAAAGGACTGGCAGAGGCCTCATACTATGACTATAGATGAACGCAAAAAGGTTTGGAATGACAAACAACTGCATGGTCGATTTTTTAAAGCATTGACTAATCCTTATGTAGACATGGTTGCATCAGTACATTGGTTACTATTTGGTGACCTTTTTGCAGAAACTGAAAGTTTTATCTGTGCAATACAAGATGAAGTATTTAAAACGAACAACTACCGAAAATACATTTTGAGGGTCTGCACAGTTGACGTATGTCGAGCATGTCACCACCCTGGAGAGTCCCTCAGACATGTTATTTCCGGTTGTTCACAACTATCAAATGGTGAGTATTTGCACAGACATAACCAAGTAGCTAGAATAATACACCAACAGCTTGCCATTAAATTTGGCTTTATTCAACAGGATGTTCCATATTATAAGTATGAACCAAAGCCAGTCCTTGAAAATAGAAGTGTCATGCTGTACTGGGATCGGTCAATTATCACAGACAGGTTTATAGTGGCAAATAAACCTGACATTGTGGTGATAGACCGAACTACACGCAAGGCAATAATAGTGGATATCAGTGTTCCTCATGACGAGAATCTCGTAAAAGCAGAGAATGATAAAAAAATAAAATATATCGACTTGGCTCATGAGATTGTCGCTATGTGGGACGTTGATTCTGCTATTATTGTACCAATAGTTGTATCAGTCAATGGACTTATTGGTAAAAATATGGACGATTATCTGTCCAAGTTAGGTTTGGGCAAATGGCTGAAAGCAATAATTCAAAAATCGGCCTTATTAAATACGGCTCGAATAGTAAGAAGGTTCCTATCTTTGGATGCCTAACTTCACCGATGGCTTAGAATTCCTCGCCGCGGTGGATAATATCCGAAATAATAATATTATTTATATAGATTGTATTTATATTTATAATATTATAGTTTTGTGATAATATAAATGATCATATAATAATAATAACATAATAATAACTCTTTTATTTCATACATAGATCCATTTAAGTTGTTACAAAAGCAGTATACGCCTAAATATGCAAAGAAGGTACAAATGAATAAGTGATATAAGAGAATGGTGAAAAAAAATATGTAAAAAAATCTCAAACATTCTGTCCTTTTTATCTTTTTAATTCAGAATGCATGGCAATGCATTATTTTAACTAATTGTCATTCATAAATATCTAATGCCTACTATTTTACTACGCGCGCACACATTCATAAGGGTCGCTCAGTCGGGAAAAATGTAAATGTGAATTGAATCGCACTCAAAGTAGCGTGCGGTCGCGTAGTTGTTGCCCATAAATCACATACAATTTGGGATAATTTCAAATAAAAGTAGAAGCTTTATTTACTCGTACTTTTAAAAACTGCAATAACGATATATAATTATTTATATGTTTGGAACTTAAATAAAAAATTTGGATACTCTTTGAAAAATAACCATGTAATAATGTAACCTCTAATGATCGATGGATTGATTCTATATGTCTAAATGTTATATCAATATACTCCTTGAATTTAGTTTCTGCTGCTAATATTACAATTTAATTAAATACAACTATGGTTAAGGACAAAAAAATATGACAAGAAATGAAATATTATAATATTACGTTATTTATACAATTATAACGGTGAGATCATTAAATATAATAAACAATTCTACTTCTTTCTTCTACTCTATTTCGCAGTTTTTCTCCCCTTATTCTAACCTAACTTCTCCTTGCCCTAATATTTGCAAGTAATCAATTGAGAACAGTTATGGGCTGTCAAAATTTAGTTTATTATTCAGTACAATCACCCATATCAACAGTGTTCTCAGACCATGTTATTTCTTAGCCAATCTAAATACGAGTAGACATACGTATATATAGCGGGAGTGTTATCTGTGCCGCATCGTCCTAAGCCGTAACTCACAATTCCTATCGCTACGTATGTAGTGCCGTGCTCGTACATCAAGGGTCCTCCGGAATCACCTGAACAGGAGTCTTCACCTTCTCGTCCACCGGCGCAGATTTGAGCCTCAATTATTCTGTTTAAACTAAAAGACGCTTGGCATTCCTTTGCTGGAACATATGGCACTGTGACATATTTCTTCACATCGCTGAACTTGTTGCCATCGCTCCCCCAACCCGCGACAGTAAAGGTTACTCGGCTTTTAAAATCTATTCTAAAGTCCTGTGTAGGTAGACATATAAGCCTGATGAAATCTGTACAAGAAAATCATTAATTAACTTAAATAGTCTTGTTACTAACTTTAACTTATAATCACTACTTGTGCGTTGATATTTTATCTAATTTGACATTTCTCTTAAGGCCACGTGCGCGAAATCAACTCATTTCGGACAAATTTGATCACTGTTTGTGTGAACAGGAAAACGAATTTTAACTTTTTTTTTATTTTATTATAATAGTTTAGTTCTTAATCTAATATTTGGCTTGAAGGGATGTATCATATTATCTATATAATAATGGCAAATCACCAATATTCACAACCCTTTTTCCGAAAAGTAACGGTCAAGTGAGTTTTGTCTTCGTTTTACAACGAAACCACAAAATATTTCAAACATTAAAAAATATAAATAACTTAAGTATACGGTTTACTTGTTTGTAGCCAGATCAGTTTTTTTAATTTGTATCCAAATAATAAAAATAAGCAGAAAAAGGTTGTTGAAATAACGTAATTTCCAGAAAACTTCGTTCGAAATAAGTATTTTTTTCTATTACATAGAAACACTTTTAATTAATTTAAAAATTACACATTAATCTTAAGATAACCCTTTATTGCAAACTAAATTTAATTTCATAAATAAATAATAATTTCGTTTATTACTGTGATTAAAAGTCGTAAGCCTGAAAAGTATGCAAAAGCGTTCTTTAATTTTTCTTTACCACTTTATTTTATTTTAGACTAAAATGCGACTTATTACGAAATAATGTTCTTATATAGCACGCGGTCTATCTAATGAACAACATGTAATGTAACGTGCTACGAGACATAGCGTGCTGCAAAACTTAACGCGCTTGCCGGTCTCCTACACGCTTTCTTATAAATAGCGCGCTATAACATAGCGTATTTAATAGCGCGCTAGAAATTTATAGTTTGTAGTTTGTAGCGTGCTATTGATATATAGTCGTTTTGAACAACTTTAATATGAAATATCGACCGCGCAAAATCGATCCGATCATTGACGACCGGGCCTTCCCAGAGCGAGGACGTATACTTTGCATCGCAGGCGCTCCCGTGGTTTACCTAAACATTTCCAGAAATTGTACGCCGACCACCAAATAACAATGGCGAACGCCCATACAAATATTTCTGTCACGTAATCTGGAAGCGTCTTTGCATCAAAAATATCAAAAGCGATTCACCATCCTCCCCTGAGATTGTCTAAGATTTTTTTATCGACAAGGCCGGGAATAATTGTAACGAGGCTTTAAAGATTTGTAGGTTATGTGAAATTATATCACTTAAATGGTTCAAGATTTATTATCAATTTATGAGTTTTTACCTACAGGATTTCAATAATTTAATCTTATATTGATGTTCAATTAATAATCCATTAAGTATATTACTGTTCCAAAGTTATTTTTGAGTAATCCACTTGTGGAGCAGATTAAACTCTCTTATGGAATTTATTCGCCTATTAAGGAATTCACTGCAGAGAATTCAGAATAATATGTTTAGCCATAGTACAAGTTCCACTTTAGAACTAGATACCTAATGAGGGCAGGGCATCCACGACTTTTTCTGCCACCAGAGTGGCGCTACTTACAAATGAGGTGTAATATTTGACAGATTACATAGCGGGAACTCAATTTGTTTGAAAAATGTATAGGTTAATGTTTCTTTATATAAGTAAAGTAAAGTTACAGCCTATATACGTCCCACTGCTGGGCTCAGGCCTCCCCTCATTTTCTGAGAGGGTTTTAGGGCAAGGAAGTGTTCGCCGCGCTGCCCAATTGCGTGTTGACGAACTTCACATGTCTTCGAAATATTTTTTTTTTTCTTATTCCTCAGACATGCAGGTTTCCTCACGATGTTTTCCTTCACCGCCGAGCACGTGGTAAATCAGCACTTAAAATTGCAATTAACAATTTCATTGGTGCCGGCGGGGTTCGAACCCGGGTTACTCGCGTTCTGTTATATTTACAGCGAGCGTTAACCACTGAGCTACCACGGCTCTTCTTTATATACTATTAGTTATATTTTACATCAATTTGATTAAAACCAAACCACAGATATTCATAAAAGTAAAAAAAAATGAGTTAAAAATGTGCAACAAATTAAAGAATAAACTCCTGAGGCTTTGTTTTGTGTATTAATATAATACTATAGAAATTGATAAACTTTTATTTAAACCTAAATTCTCAATTAAATTACATTGTGTAACCAAAAACTTCGCCTGTGTTACTTTTACTAGTTTTGATGTTTATTTGATAAAATGCAATAATGTTTTTGATTACGTCCTATAACAATTATAACTCAAGACGCTTCAAAATATTTGACATATTATTTCGCCATTGTCCTTTTGATCAGGGTATAAGTATTTTTTTTTTGGATAGTTTGTTTATTAAGAATAATAATATGTTGCACGCCTAGTCTTTATATAAAAATTCAGGTGTTCGTGTTCGTAATTCTTGTTATCCTAAACGGCTATACCAATTATGATGATTTTTTTCTTCGTATGGGATCACCTGGGTGGTTCTTAGTACCTGATAGTTAAACCCGGGTGCTGTATCAGTACGTCTGCTATGTTCATTGATATTTTATTTTTGATAGTTATTTTTAATTATTAGTACCCATTTCAGATACCATTCATAAAATAAGATTTTGTCTACTGTTGCATTTCATTATGTCCGCATAAAATAATGCAAAAATACCACCCGCGGCTGCATCGAATGGGGTCAAAATTAAGATACCGAAATTGTGATCTATAGCAGGGTGACGAACCTATAAAGATCAACGGCCGAATGTTTTATCGAAAATACAAGTATCCTTTAGCATGTTCGGCTTATTTTTGCCAAAATGTGTACTTTGTATCCCTCATGGATAAAAATAAATTCAAAACATTGAGTAAATATTATAAAAGAAACGAGTATTATGAATTTAAAAATCAAAGTATTTACTTGACGTGTACGTTATACACTCGTGCTCTGTATTTTATTTATCCTTTAACATTCCGTTTCTCATATACGGCCTAATATTTAAATTTAAATGTTTTGCATTTACAAAAACTTTGTTTTAATAAAATTACGATGTTTGATTTTCGGGCAAATACCAATAAGACATGTTAAATTTGTCTGTACTCTCTAGCAGACATTAATGACATTGCACAACGAAAACATTGAATTATGTATAACAGTGTATTTGTCTAACACATTTCTTTTTAATTTTAATTTTATGTTGATTGTAATAAATATACTAAACTATTATACAAAAACTTCCCGACTTTTATTTCTAAACCGTACTTACTATGTATCCTAAAATAATTATCAACTAAAGGATCAAAATTGTTTAAGCTAGCACTGCGCTCGGTCTTTAGCCGTGTGTGCGTAAATGCACACACAGATAGCACCGCAATGAATTTGCCTAAGCTCTATCGAATAAATTTTCTGCACGGTCTCTTAAGAGGATATAGTAAGTCAGCTCAAATTCTAATTCCGCCCCCACTTCCCCCGCGCGTCGTATGCTATGTACCGACATGTTTGTAATCACTAATACTGTAAGTAGATAGGTCGTTAGATACTTATTTCATTAGGTTTATCATATTTATGCCTGTTTCTTAACGCCAACCTAGTCGCTTCTTATTTTTATTACGATTATTTACCATTTTAATTTTACGTAGTGCTGTTGCGTAATGTATATTCTGATCGTAAGCGACACAACCTCCCCCTTCAAAGGCCGAAGACATACTGACCGGGCGGCAGGAATCAAGCTTCAAGAAGCCGATAGTTTAGGTAATTTCTTTTTACAGTGAAAATAATGGTATTTTAAAAAAGTAAATAACATAAGCACTGCTTTATAGTTAGTACAGTTAGTATGCAAAGTTTCATGATCTTATTCAAAGTATTTTATGAATAACAGCCGTTTATTGTTTATTTTGGAGGTAACTTTGGATTTTTTTTATCGAGAAGATTTTACGGAATCGTGTTTTCGTCTAACATAGTCCTTAACATTAATCCTCAACTTTACCATATATTTATTTCAAAATTAATGCTGCAATATTTTCGGCATAACGGAGGATCTTGCTAAGCCATTTGAGGTTATATTTCCCCTTAACTCGGATTTTATTTTGCTTTACACAATTTTAAAGTTTAAATTTGAAATAATATTGGGTATTTAGATTCCTAGCGCTGTTCTGAACTAACGTACAAACGTAAAACTTATTTGGTCTGGTCTTTATAAATGTCGAAAGATTAAGAGTCTGGGCGCTCTCGTTATTTCGACTGCACTGTCTGTCTGACGTTGGTCATTGCACTTTTAAATACTATTTCACCACATACTTGACAGTGACAAAAACATCTTAAAATACATAATCAGGTCGCGTGTCGAAGGAATTAAAAAAATGGTTTGAAGACATGTGAATTCCGCCAATACACATATACGCAACCACAGAAATCGTAATAATAAGACAATATAATAAATAGACAATAGAAATGAATTAGCGCTCGATTACTTCCATAACCGATGTCGCCACATCTTACCGTATTATAAACATACGCAATGCACAATGATATCTAACAGTTGGGCTGAAAAGTTTGTATCGTTTTATAGAAAAACACATTTTTTTGGCAAAATTCGATTTTATTATTCAACATAGTTGCCATCGAGGGCGATACACTGATTATAGCGACTTTCAACTTTTCCAACTTTTCAATACCATTTTTGTAGTACGATTTGTGTTTAGCCTCAAAATAGGCCTCTGTTTCGGCGATTACTTCCTCATCGGCTTTAAATTTCTTTCCAGCGAGCATTCTCTTGAGATCTGAGAACAGGAAAAAGTCGCTGGGGGCCAAATCTGGAGAATACGGTGGATGCGGAAGCAATTCGAAGCCCAATTCATGCAATTTTGCCATCGTTTTCATCGATTTGTGACACGGCGCATTGTCTTGATGAAACAACACTTTCTTCTTCTTCAAATGGGGCCGTTTTTTCGCGATTTCGTCCTTCAAACGCTCCAATAACGCTATATAATAGTCGCTGTTGATGGTTTTTCCCTTTCCAAGATAGTCGATGAAAATTATTTCATGTGCATTCCAAAATACGGACGCCAGAACCTTACCGGCCGACTGTTGAGTTTTTCCACGCTTTGGATTCGGTTCATCGCGTGCAGTCCATTCAGATGACTGCCGACTGGACTCCGGAGTGTAGTGGTGGATCCATGTTTCATCGATTGTCACATATCGATGCAAAAATTCACTTCTATTGCGGTTGAACAGCTCCAAACATTGCTCTGAAGCATCGACACGTTCTTGTTTTTGGTCGATTGTGAGCTCGCGCGGCACCCACTTTGCACATAGCTTTCGCATACCCAAATATTCATGAACGATATGTCCAACACGTTCCTTTGATATCTTTAGAGTGCCAGCTATACAAATCAACCTCAATTTACGATCTTCCAAAATCATTTTGTGGATTATTTTTTATGTTTTCGTCCGTAACAGCCTCTTTTGGACGTCCACTGCGTTCATCGTCTTCGGTGCTCATATAGCCTGTACGGAATTTGGCAAACCACTTACGAATGGTTGCTTCGCCCGGCGCAGAGTCCGGATAACACTCATCAAGCCACTTTTTGGTATCAGCAGCACTTTTTTTCATCAATAAATAGTGTTTCATTAAAACACGAAATTCCTTTTTATCCATTTTTTTCAAAATAACAAAAGTTGCTTCACTCAAAATGCTGTATCTCACAAACTAATAATCAGACAGCTGTCAAATTTATACACGTTTCTTTTGAAGGTTGGTACTACCTAAAAATGATATGGATTTTATTCTAGTGGCGCCATCTCATAGAGACGATACGAACTTTTCAGCCCAACCAATAACGCCGGCAATACACGTTGGCCAAGCCTCAGCCAACGCGAGCGTAGGCAAATTGATACAAGGCGAGTGCTACAGTCTACACGTTGGTCAAGTTCGAAAGAGACCAATTCCAAGGCCAATGTTCACGAGCTTTTGTGGAGCTATCTACATGTTGGCCGTAATTAGTTGTCATTGAGAATTGGGACGATATGGACGACGTAGAAATTATTGCCGCATCTGTAATTTATTTAATGAGTACATATAATTATTATATCAGTGTACTCCGTAGTAAAGTCTTTGGGGTTCCAAATAACGGGTTCATTTTTGTATATTTCCAAAAACTTAAAAGTGTACTCGTTAGTACAGTGACATTGTTGAAATTATTTAAACACAGAGTACTTTTTGATACAGGATTTTAAAGTTGCAATTTAATTAAACAATATATCACCGGGACGGACGCCTGACATGGCCGTCAACATGTGGACACGACTTGCCGAGCATAATCGAGCGCCTTTGATTTCTGCAGAAAAACCGACATCGTTCCGAAGTGATCGAACCGTAGCGAGCGATCCCGAGTGGCGGCAAGGCACGCCAAACGAACCATATACACGTTGGCGCTCGCCTGCACTCAGCCAGCTAGGTGAGCGTCGACGAGTAATGGCGAGGCTAGACCAATGGGGTGTCTATACGTTGGTACTCGCCTTCGCTCGGCCGACATGTATAGCCGGCATAATGTTTCACATTACATTGCTTGGCGAGTTTGTCAACATTGCGTGTGTCACGTTACATATTACAGTAGAATAAAAGCAGCAAGGGTAATTGTACAATACGATAGTAATAAATGAGTTTGCAAAGGTAAATGTCATAGTAAAGTATTCATCTAGATGTAAATTAATTAAAACAATGATAATTAGTAAATAATCAACTTACTGTATTTTTTTACTTTACTTTATTAGTTTAATTACTCGTCCTTCCCTCCTCTGCCCACCTTCCCCTGCTCCAATACGCTTTCAGAATAGGGAGAAGACCAATATTCACTCGCGAGACACGATACGTAAGTTCTGTCATGTATTCGTGTGACAAAAAGAACATTATATAACATATAACTTACCCCCCAAAACAGCATCCCTTTTTAATTTTGACAGACCAATATCGTGGTGTACATATAATCTTGTGTAGTTTGGGTGGGCCAAGTTTTTCTCTATGGGAATAATCTCCACCGTGACCTCATCGATACCACCTCCATCTGTTTCAACGTAATCTGTTGGGTACGATGATGTGTTATATTCTGCCAGGCGTGCAAATTTTCTAAAAAAATATTTTTATTATTTTTAATTAATCTATATGTAACTTAATATAAATTCGACTTAGTGTGTATCGCATATTCATAAGAGTAGTTATACAATTATTGCAACTTTAAAAACAAAAAAAAATGTGCGTGTCAGCTCCGACGCGTGACTGGAGTTTACTCATGTAATTATCTTTATAAATATACCACTTTATATAAATGTCAACAGATAAAAATTAAAATCAAACTAGATCTTTAAAGCTCCATAAATTGACGTTTGATATAAATATGTTAAAAGAAAGAGAGCGAGGGGAAGAGAGCGAGGAAGAAAAAGAGGGGTGAAGAGAGCGAGGAAGAGAGAGAGAAAGGAAGAGAGAGGAGGGGAAAAAGGGAGAGAAAGTGAGAGAGAGAGAGAGAGAGATAAATAGAAAGAGAGGGTTGGGGGGGGGGTTAAGCCGGTCACATGCTGGCTTTACCCTTACACATACAGAATTCCATTTTCCCCGCAAAATTTCTAACTATTGTACGTGTGCAACGGGTCCTTGATTTTATATCCATGGACTTACCGCGCTCGGAATCCCGAAACAAAATTCCGTATGTATGTGCCCGTCCTAAATATGTTTTTGGCTCTAAGGAGCGGGAAAAAAAAAAAGAAAACCATAACGGCTTCACTTTTACGCTTGATTTTACTACCCATCTATTTTTCATACCTTGCGCTATACAGTGTTTATTGGGAACTCGACAACTTCCTGGCAGGCGTTATAGGGGAGTCAAAATGCTACAAATTTGACCCCTCCCCCATATGTATGGCCGAAAACGAACAGGTCTTGAGATATACGGATTTTACAGAATTTTCGATAATCTCCCAGAATTTCGTATTAAATTCTAAATTCGTGGCCTGCACGAAGTCCTGATCTGACGCCACTAGACTTCTTTGTTTGGGGTCACACGAAGGACTAAGTCTGCGTGACCCCAGTGAATTCTCTTGAAGAACTTCGAAGGCATATCTTAAATGCGGCAGAGCAGATAAGGGCTACCTTATCTTCAAAAATAACGAAAACCGAATTTAAGAAAAAGATCAGGACGTGGACAGAAATTGTTTAAGTTTGGAAATGACCCACATTAGTTTAATTGACTGTACGTTATGAATAACTGTCTTCAACGGGATGTTATTATGTACCCCTTTGAATATCTGATTAAATGGGCATGTTTTTAAAATATTTTTATGTCTCACGTCATTGTATTTTTTTTTGTATCATACATAAAATGAAAAAAAAAGAAAAAAAATTATACATAATTTTTTATTGTGAATACTTTTTGTACTTTTTATGATTGTATTCGCTTGGTTGATGCTTCAAAAAATAAATAAACGTTAAAGAAAGCATACAAAAAAGGTTTATTTTTATTTAGAATTTAATACGAAATTCATGGTGATTATTGAAAAATCTTTGAAATCCCTGTATCTCAAGACCTGTGTTCATTTTCGGCCATACATATGGGGGATCAAATCCTGGAAAATGGAAGTAAACCCGTATGTGAACGTTTCTAAAGGAGTAAACTCCAATAAACTCCATTATATTCCAAAAATTGTAACTTACGGTTCGGAAGTGCGCTTAATACAGTGCGCAGCAGTTAATATAAATTTCTTAGTGATGAGACTGCCCCCGCATAATGTCTGACCATTCTCATATTCAAGCAAAACAAGCCACGGGAATTGGTCTACAGCTGCAGCGCCCCCTCCTGTATGTTAAATTTTGTATTTTTTTTAATTTATATTAACTGGGTCACACTGGTAGTCGACTTAATGCGCAGCGCCTGCGACTGCACAGCTGTTAATGTATATCAAATGTAGGTTTTGTATGGCTATTCTTGTCCATGACGAAAAACCAACAATTTACAACAATTTTTAATTTCTATATTTTAAAACTCAAGGATTCCTTTCTTCTTAGCTTTTTAAATCATCCTTAACTGGGCTTTCCAAGAATGCGACAAATAGACAATTCTTGAAAGGTCTGAACTTGTTTGCCACGCAACTACCTCTACTAGTTACTAGTAATACTGCTTCCTAACACCAGTCAATTTATGTCTTATATTTATATATGTTATATTTATATATGCCGTGTAGTGGCGGTTGAGAATATCCACTAGGTACCCCATATCTTCCCGTGGATGTCGTAAGAGGCGACAGAGGGAGACAGGCAGGAGATGGGCAGCAGCATCTTCCTAATAATAACAATAACATAATAAAAAACTGCGGTTGCCAACCCGCTCGCCAAGCGTGGCAATTATGGCAAATACCATGAGCAACGACGCAAATAAACGGCCCCCAGTCCCCGGCGGCCCCGCTATTCCTACGTCACCTGGTAACGGCGGGGCAGGGGGTGCTAAGAATCTCCGGTGGAGGTTCGGTTGCCACCTACGACGACTCGACCTGGCAACGTATAACGCACGCACCCTGAGGACTGACGAGAAGATACTGGAGCTGGAAGAAGAGGTAGACAAGTACATATTAATGCGGTTCGAAGAGAGGGGGAGGACACGGTTAATCCTCGAGTCCGGCAACTTGTTCTATCACCGGGAGGGCGACCATCTGTCCCAAGTAGGTGTTGGATTTATCGTCCACAAGTCTCTCGTCAACAACGTTGTAAATATTGTGAGTGTGTCGACGAGGGTCGCGTACCTGATACTCAGAATCACCAAACGGTATTCGCTGAAGGTCATACAGGTCTACGCACCAACCTCGGCACATCCCGATGAGGAGGTGGAGGAAATGTATGAGGATATTTTTAGAGCCATGCATTCCTCCAAAACCCACTACACGGTGTTGATGGGAAACTTCAACGCAAAACTAGGCACAAGAGAAGGCGGTGAGCTGAAGTTAGGCAAATTTGGAGTAGGGCAACGGAACCGTAGGGGCCAGCAGCTGGCCTACTTCATGGAGAAAGAGGGTCTCTTTATGATGAACTCTTTCTTCCAGAAGCGGCCCCACAGGAAGTGGACCTGGTCGAGCCCCGATTGTTCGACAAAAAATGAGAATGACTTCATTATGATTACCAGACGCCAACTGTTCAGTGATGTCTCAGTGATCGCAAGGGTGAAAACCGGCAGCGATCACCGAATGGTTAGAGGCACACTGAACCTAAACGTTAAGTTGGAGAGGTCTCGTCTAATGAAGTCAACGCTCCGTCCCCCTCGTGCTCTGATCCAGAATCCCGAGACTTTTCAGCTCGAGTTACGTAACCGCTTTCAGTGCCTAGAAGATTGCAATGCAGTGGACGATATGAATGACAAGCTCGTGGAAACTGTCCATGCGGTCGGAGCTAAGTTCTGCAAGACCGCCGCAGAAGAACACAAAAACTCTCCGATCACACTCTTAATCTCATTGGCTGTTAGACGGGCGATGAGGCTGCAATCGTCAACAGATTTGACAGCATACAGGCAACTGAACAGACAGATCTCCAAATGCATGCGGCGAGACTTACGCAACTTTAATACTGCTCGTATTAAAGAAGCGATCGAGCGGAACAAGGGCTCCAAAGTCTTTGCCAGAGATCTGTCTGCCAGAAAGAGCCAACTGTCAAAGCTGAAGACTGAGTGTGGCAGCATCGTTTCCGAGACACCTGAGATTTTGAGTGACATTGAGAGGTTCTATGGGCAGCTGTACACATCATCTTTGGAGCCACACGCAAGTGTGAGTAACGATCCAAGAGCAAGTCTTACCCGACACTATTCCGATGATATCCCGGACGTCAGTCTGAGCGAGATTAGAATGGCTCTCCAGCACCTTAAAAACGGCAGGGCCCCAGGCGAGGATGTAATTACAGCGGAGCTTCTGAAAGCGGGTGGAACACCGGTACTTGAAGTCCTTCAGAAGCTCTTCAATTCCGTCCTCCATGGTGGCACTACTCCGGAGGCGTGGAGCAGAAGTGCGGTGGTCTTGTTCTTTAAGAAAGGCGACAACGCTCCCTTAAAGAACTACAGACCGATTTCCCTACTGAGCCGCGTCTACGTGCTGTTTTCGAGAGTCATTACGAATCGACGACTTCCAGCCTCCCGTACAAGCCAGTTTCCGAAAAGGCTTCAGTACCATAGACCACATACATACGCTGCGGCAGATTGTACAGAAGACCGAAGAGTACAATTTGCGACCGAAGATATTGCCTGCGATATGTGGACTATGAGAAAGCCTTTGATTCCGTCGAAATTTGGGCGGTGCTACAGTCCCTTCAGCGGTGCCAAGTTGACTGTCGGTATATCGAAGTGCTGAAGTGTTTGTACAGTAGGGCTACGATGGCTATCCGAGTACAGAATCAGAGCTCGAAACCTATCCAACTGCAGAGAGGTGTAAGACAGGGTGACGTGATATCCCCGAAACTCTTCACCGCTGCATTGGAAGACTTTTCAAGCTACTGGACTGGAAAGGATACGGTATTAACATCAATGGCGAGTAAATCATTTGCCTTCGATTTGCCGACGATATAGTCCTTATGGCAGAATCGCTGGAGGACCTTAGCACTATGCTCAATGATCTCAGTGGTGTCTCCCAACGGATAGGTCTTAAGATGAACATGGACAAAACAAAGATCATATTTAATGTCCATGTCTCACCTATGCCGGTAGTTGTTGGGAGCACTATGCTCGAAGTTGTTGACGAGTACGTTTACCTGGGACAAATGGTCCGACTAGGTAAGTCCAACTTCGACCGAGAGATCAATCGACGGATTCAACTCGGCTGGGCAGGGTTCGGGAAATTACGACACATTCTCGTCAGGTATACCTCAATCTCTGAAAACTAAAGTGTACAACCAGTGCGTGATGCCAGTGATGACTTACGGATCAGAGACGTGGTCCTTCACTGCTGGCCGTATGAGGACGCTCAAGGTCGCTCAGCGAGCTATGGAGAGGGCTATGCTCGGAGTTTCTCTGCGTGATAGACTCAGAAATGAGGATATCCGCAGTAAAACCAGAGTGACCGACATAGCCCAACGGATTAGTAAGCTGAAATGGCAATGGGCCGGCCATATAGCTCGAAGAACCGATAACCGATGGGGAAGAAAGGTTCTCGAGTGGCAGCCTCGTACCGGTAGGCGTAGTGTAGGGCGACCACCAACTAGATGGAGTGACGACCTGGTAAGATGTGCAGGAAATCGATGGATGCAGGTGGCTCAGGACCGTGCTTTGTGGCATTACTTGTGGGAGGCCTATGTTCAGCAGTGGATTTGTGAAGGGCTGTAATGATGATGATGATGATGATATTTATATATATAAACGAGTGGTTTTTCAGTGGTCGAAATTCGAACGTAGTTCATAATTTTTAAGTCTGTTTATTACGGAAGCTGTAGTTCACTTTCAACTGCGAATTAATATATGCAGGGGTGTCCCAGAAGTCGACGTCAAGCCGAAACTTTCTAATAGGCGAGGCCATACTAGTTACCAGTAAAATATAAAAAAAATCCAAGTCATGTATTTCAGAAAGTATAGTAATTTTTTTCGATAAAATGTACACCATGAGACAGTTTTTTCATTTCTGTTGCTACAAATATTTACTATTTGCCAATTTTTTTCCCTTACGTCATCCTGAATAGTGGTTCTGTAACCTGTAATCCTAAACCCTGTGCCGATCACTCCAGCTTGAAAGAAAATGTAATTTTATACCGAACCAAGTTTTCAGAATTAGTTTTTCGCACTACTTCAACTGACCGTCCTAGAAAAAAATTGTACTACGCCTGTTTGGCAAGTAGCTTTAAAAGTTAGCGCATTTAATAAGGATTCTAACGTGGTATAGGATTTACTCCATTATTTCTTAGATCAGGCATAAAAACTTTTTTGTTAAACAAAGTCAGTTTTTAACAATTTTGTGGAACTTACATTAAAATGATTCTAGTGCAACCAAAGCGTTCCTAATGACCACAGCGTGGTTAAAATGAGATAGAGAGAGACATCCCATAAAGTGTGCGCGAGACAGATAGTGACGCTTATGAGACACAGACGCAAATACAAACTAAAGTAATAAAATAATGGTTATAAAATTAAGACAGTCAGTTTCGTTTTTATGATAAAATTTATTACTTATTTTACAAAAGATGTTCAAATTTTTGTCCTTGAGCTGCAATCCAAGCCCGACATCTTCTTAAAAAAGATCGTGAAATCAGGCGGGCGAATCTTCCATTATTACAAAATTCAACTGCTTCCGCTATTCTCTGTCTAAGCTCTTCTACATTTACAATCGGCTTGGAATATACTTTTTCCTTCACTGGTCCCTAGTAAAAAAAATTCTAGAGGATTTAAATCGGGTGAGCGGGCGGGCCACGGAGATCGGACCAGCCCGCCCTATCCATCTGACCGGATATTCCTCGTTAAGGTGTTCTCGAACTAAGCGGCTATAATGCGCTGGACAACCATCTTGTTGGAACCACATATCTCTGAAAATAATAAGCGGCACGTTGTTCAGCAAATTGAGTAAATGATTTTGTAAAATATCTAAATAAATTTCAGCATTTAAGATTTCTCGACGTGCCATTCGTGTTGATTGTGAAGGTTCATATAGCCGTCTTTTTGAAAGGTTGATTCATCCGACCACAAAAAAATTTCTAAGAATTGTGGGTCTTCTCGGTGTTTTTGAATCATGGTTTGGCAAAACTCAACCCGAGGTTCATAATCCCGAGGTAATAACGTTTGTACTCGCTGTACATGATAAGGGTGGAGCTCATTTTTTTGTAATATTCGGTGAGCTATACTTTTGGGCACACCTGTAGTGGCCTCAATTCCACGTGCCGAACAACTTGGGTCCTCATCAACTGCTGGAAGGACTACTTCCTCGTAAGGTAATGAAATTCTACCTTCACCATGCATTTGGTTTGGCAGTCGGCCATCATAGAAGAGTAGACGGTGCACATTGGTAAAAACTCTGTGATCTGGATAGCGAACAGCATTAGGGTATCTCTCGCGATACCGTCTAGCGGCTTCACTGTCATTACATTGGCATTCCCCATAAATGAGGTGCATATTGGCATATTCCTGTGTGGTGTACACAGCCATGGTATGGTACAAATACACAATAACACGTTAGTCCAGGGAAAAGCAAAGGTCGTCGTAAAGAGATCACAAATGTCCAAATCCAAATCCAAATCACACGCAAACAAGTCCAGTAAACGAAGCCAAAGTAGTAAGAACACAAGATATCACCAGCGAATACGAAAAGATGCGTAGTAAACGAAGTAGCGTTGCGTACTGATTTAACAGAGTACTTGACTGATTTGTAGTGCGTGTACCAATACCAATAAGAGGCGTCACTACCTGTCTTGCTCACACTTAGCACGACTCTCTGTTTTGTTCACTCATTTGCGTCTGTGTCTTATTAGCGTCACTATCTATCTCGCTTACATTTTATGGAATGTCTCTCAGTCTCTCTCTATCTCATTTAAACCACGCTGTGGTCATTAGGAACGCTTTGGTTGCACTAGAATCGTTTTAATGTAAGTTCCAAAAAATTGTTAAAAACTGACTTTGTTTAACAAAAAATTTTTTATGGCTGATCTAAGAAATAATGAAGTAAGTGTTATACGAGGTTAGAATCCTTATTAAATGCGCTAACTTTTAAAGCTACTTGCTAAACTGGCGTAGTACAATTTTTTTCCTGGACGTTCAGTTGAAGTAGTGTGAAAAACTAATTCTGAAAACTAGGTTCGGTATAAAATTACATTTTCTTTCAAGCTGGAGTGATCGGCACAGGGTTTAGGATTACAGGTTACAGAAGCACTATTCAGGATGACGTACGAGGGCGGCACTGAAAATTTCAGGAACCAAGGAAGTGACACAACATTACTAATTAAAAATGTATTTATTGCTTTTCGAAGTATTCTCCGCGAAATTTGACACATTTTTCCATACGATGGAACCAATCATTGAAGCAACCATTCCATTCGGAAGTTGGGGTCTCCAAAATGGCCGTTTTGTAGGCGTCCACAGCTTCTTCAGGTGATGAAAATCTCTGTCCACGCCATTTATTCTTTATTTTAGGGAAAGTATAGAAATCATTTTTTTTGCAACACTCCGTGAACGATAAATTTTTGTTGGAACACCCAAACTCGTGACTGGTTTATTGTTTCGGGTTCGTACGTATATATCCAGGATTCTTCACCTGATACGATGTTGTATACAGCATTTTAGGATCCTGCGTGGAATCTTTCGAGAGTTCTGATGCACCAAGTAACGCGAGCCGCTTTTTGCTCTTCACAGAGCGAATGCGGTATCCATCGGGAAAACAACTTTTTTACACCTAATTGTTCATGCAAGATTATTTGTATTTGACTCATGCTAATGTCTAAAGTTGCCTGAAATTAGCGGTATGTCACATGTCGATCTTCCTCAATCAGCTTACGCACAGCATCAACGTTTTCTTGGGTGACGACGGTTTTTGGACGACCTTGACGGGGATCATCACTGAGCTTGACACGTCCACGTTGAAATTCAGCAAACCAGCGATAAATTGTGGTTTAGGATGGGGCTTCATCACCAAATGCAGAAATCATCCGGTCAACACACTGTTTTTGTTTTAAACTACTTCGAAAGTCATCATAAATCATCGCTCTTGATTTTTCTCTAGTCAATTCCATTTTCTCAACGACTAAACAAGTTTGACAAAACCTTGTGACAAGACCGAGAATCTTTTTTTTAAATAAATAAATGATATTCGATTTTTTAAAACAAGGAGTTTTCAATTAAAAAGATTTTAATATGACAGGAACAGTGGAAATATTCCATTCCCGATACTTTTAGCGCAGCCTATGTAAAAGAAAAAAAAATTGGCAATAAGTAAATATTTGTAGCAACAGGAATGAAAAAACTGTCTCATCGTGTACTTTTTATCGAAAAAAAAAAAACTATAATTTCTGAAATACATGACATAGATTTTTTTTATACATGTATTTTACTGCTAACTAGTACGGCCTCGCCTATCAGAAAGTTTCGGCTTGACGTCGACTTCCGGGACACAGTATGAAACGTAATTAAAGCACACCCTCAGACATCCCAATTAGTATATTATGTTATAATCATAATACATACACTGAATTTTTAGTTAAACATTTTTATGCACTGATTATTTATCAAATTAGTTATACCAATTCCGGAAGAATATTGTGATCACAGTACAAATCCACGAACGCAAAAACTTTAACGTGCTTGATATAAAGTTCATTTTTCTTCATTTTTATTGAATGATAGAATTAGTAATAATACAAATAAAACTGCACTCTCAAAAGTCTTATTGCCTTGAGTTACGGTCTATTTCAGTTTGTTTTGACTGTAATTTACGTAGTTTTAATTATTTTTGGGATAAAAAATTACCTATATTAAAAATGATAAGAATCACACAAAAGATTTAGTAAACGATTCTGAACAAAAATAAAAAAAAAAATATATATATATATATATATATATAAAAAAAAAAAAAAAAAAAATATTAATTTAAACGTTACCTCCACACTAGGATCTAAAACACCGATATCTAATATACAAAATATAAAACAAACGCTTTTCTGCCTTCATATTATATTCCACAGACTTTTGTAAAAGGAACTATGAAATCACATAATTCACAGCTTATTCTGTTTAGATCTTGAGCCATGGAGATTAGAGAAAGGTTAGAGAAAATGATCGCTACGCGCTAAAGCGTTAGCCCACCTGTCCCTGAAAATTTGTAGAATTTATAGCTGCGCTGCTGTCGGTAATTAGTATCTGCGAAGTTAGTTGTTTATGAGTGCAAGTAGATGAAGTTAGTTGAATAATGTACAAATTTAATCGTAAAAATATAATAAAAATAAAATTCAATCGAAAAATCGTGCCCCATAATTTTTCATTTTATTTATTTTATGAAAATGAATAATAATAAATCAATAATAATTAATAACTAATAATAATAAATCATATTAATTTTGTTATTTTCTTTTTTTTCTTTGAAGGATATTTTAAACACGTATATTAAACGTGATAGATCATTTCAAACTAGCGCACAACAGCCCGATTTTATTAAGACAATTTAGCGATCGCAGCGCCTCACTTATTTTATTCATATCTAGGACACTATTTTCTACGGCTCGTTCTCCTTTTCTCTAACCTCCATGGCTTGAGCAGTTAGTAATTATTTTGTAGGCAACAGTTTATAATTATTTTACGAGAATGTCTATGGTTAAACAGTCGCTGACCATAGACTATCATTTATAAACACAGTGATGTTTTCTGAGGATTTTATACTCTTTTACTATTATTACTCAGATTAATGACAGATGTATGTATGCAGACTATTATGTGTTTGACAATTGACATTGACAGTATGAACATAATGAATCTTCATACATCTATCCTCGATTAAGAATCTAAATGCAGATGCGTTATACCCTTGAGGACTAAAATAGAAAGCCTCCTATCCAGTGAAAAGAGTCTCCGGTTCTCTACCCTCACCATACAAAACACATCTGCCTTGAGGTGCTATTTTACGCTGGTGTTATATAACTGTAAGCCTACGCTCACACGGCATACCAGGGTAAAATCAGGGTACACCGGGGTGGGCATGGCTCTATCACATATATACTTGCTGCTTACTTACCTTTTATTCTATTAGCATTTGAAAAGTCTTTCCCACATGATTTATCATTTTGCATGGGGAAATCTGGCGGATATTTTGTATCCTCTTTATGTTTCTCAACTTTATCATTTTTTTCGTCGTTACTATATCGTAAACCAGTTCCAGTGTCAACCTTTGGTGTTTCTTTAAAATCGGTATTATATTCCATGATTTCTTTTAAAATGACTGGCTTGATATCCTTGAAGTTCGTCCATTGTACTTCAGGTGGACAACAAATCTGTAAAGCATTGTCAATTGCTAAAATTACTGTTTTTTATTTATGAGTGACGACCAAGTTTACAGGCCACTCGATGTTAAGTTGCTGCAGCAAATAATAATATATAAAAGGACACATCCAACCGATCCAAACAATGAAGCTCACAGATATGTTGTTACCACTCAAGATTAAGTTCAATCTTAGTACATAGTAGCAGTAATTATATTGGCTCTCTTAACATTCAAACCGTAGGACAGGATTATATAATTTTAATATAAACATAAAAAACAATAAGCATTTTTTTTTGAAAAATATTAGTAATCTTATTAATTAACATTACTAATATTCCTTTTAACCACTTCTGGTAAGTGTGTTGGGAATAGTTCACGACAGTAGTCAAATGGCGGATTCGAACCCACGACCTTTTGAGTTATCGATCCGCGCCCTGCCATTAGGCTACTGTCGCTCCATAATTTATTTATTTTTATTTTTTAAATTGACACGTGCAACATACTAAGGTAGTAAAGGAATTATATTTCGCATTATGTCAGTTAATTCTCACCTGTTGTATAACCTCATGCGAAGGAGCAGCTAAAATTACACTGCTACTACTGGAACGTGCTCAAAGAGCTGTATTAAAAGTTGCAACATTCCGCCCTATTCTCAGTCCCATCTCTTGTATAAACCCTATAGTGTTCTCTCAGTGCGCCGGTTATTTGTTATGAGTACGTTACTAAAACAGCACTTAAAATTGCCCTACAGAGGAGAGGTCATTGATAAAAGACGCAAAGATAAAGTAATTGAAACTAACATTGGAATTCTTTCATCCGTAGATTTTTTACATTCCTTGGCCCTTTTCTGTATAATCAAGTCAATGCAATTTTGTACATATATCCATTAAAAATGGCAGACTGTAAAAATCTAATTCGAACATGATCACAAAATTTGTCATACGATGATGCGGAGAGGTTGCTGATGGTTTTAAGGTAATTAATATCATAAGTAAATTAATGATAATGTATTTAACCGAAATAACCCTATTTAGTCAGTATGTTACTCATTTTATATAAGAAACAGAAAATATTTGTTATTGTATCTTTTAGCACATACACCTGAGACACAGGTTTATCCTAGTTCAGGTGCCTGTTATTGTAGACTACTTTTAACTTAAGACATTATTTGAATTTATTGTACAGTTTATTGAATCAAAAATTATTATTATTATTAATATGCTAAAGTACCTGGATGACCTAGCTTTGCTCGGTTTTAATTAAAGTTTTTTATGCAATTAGTTTAAGTAAAATTTTCATATTTTTCAAAAATACTAAAAAAGGGCTCGAAATAATAGATTTTGTCACAAAAGAAGGGAACTTGAAAAAAAAAAAGGAAAAAAAGTCGGCCCGCAGCAGGACGCGAACCAAGGCATTACGATTTCGCGACCGCTCGATATCCACTTGAGCTATTACGATCATTAACACAATGTCAAAATTTACCTTCTTATATTGTAGCAGTGCCTGAAAACACGGACAAAAGGACATTTTCTAAAAATAAATCCTAGCTAGATCGATTTATTGCCCCCGAAACTCCCTGGACACAAAATTTTATGAAAATCGTTGGAGCCGTTTCCGAGATTCCGATTATATATATACAAGAATTGCTCGTTTAAAGGTATTATTATTATTATGCTAAATAAAGAATGCTACAGATGTGTTGTCACCTCCGAGGACTAAGATGGAATCCCTCAGGACCTGTTTTAATTATACCGGTAATCTATACATGTCAGATTGAAACTTAACATTGCACTTCGACGGTAGATATATGTGAGGGGTTGGTGCTTTTCTAGACAGACTTCCACTTCCAGGCTTAAAAGGAGTCCTTCCACCAAGTTTAATCAATTTCTATTAAAAGTTCTATCATTTATGTTAAGGTCTATTAACTATAACGATTATCTATTTAATTTTGTACATCATCATCATCATCATTACAGCCCTTCACAAGTCCACTGCTGAACATAGGCCTCCCCCAAGTAATGCCACAAAGCACGGTCCTGAGCCACCTGCATTCATCGACTTCCTGCATGGCCCTCTCCATAGCTCGCTGAGCGACCTTGAGCGTCCTTATACGGCCAGCAGTGAACGACCACGTCTCTGATCCGTAAGTCATCACTGGCAACACGCACTGGTTGTACACTTTAGTTTTCAGAGATTGAGGTACACCTGACGAGAAGATGTGTCGCAATTTCCCGAACGCTGCCCAGCCGAGTTGAATCCGTCGATTGACCTCTCGGTCGAAGTTGGACTTACCTAGTCGGACTATATGTCCCAGGTAAACGTACTCGTCAACAACTTCGAGAATAGTGCTCCCAACAACTACCGGCATAGGTGAGACATGGACATTAAACATGATCTTTGTTTTGTCCATGTTCATCTTAAGACCTATCCGTTGGGAGACACCACTGAGATCATTGAGCATAGTGCTAAGGTCCTCCAGCGATTCTGCCATAGGACTATATCGTCGGCAAATCGAAGGTGAGTGATTTACTCGCCATTGATGTTAATACCGTATCCTTTCCAGTCCAGTAGCTTGAAAACGTCTTCCAATACAGCGGTGAAGAGTTTCGGGGATATCACGTCACCCTGTCTTACACCTCTCTGCAGTTGGATAGGTTTCGAGCTCTGATTCTGTACTCGGATAGCCATCGTAGCCCTACTGTACAAACACTTCAGCACTTCGATAAACCGACAGTCAACTTGGCACCGCTGAAGGGACTGTAGCACCGCCCAAATTTCGACGGAATCAAAGGCTTTCTCATAGTCCACATACGCCAGGCAAAGTGGCAGATTGTACTCTTCGGTCTTCTGTACAATCTGCCGCAGGGTATGTATGTGGTCTATGGTACTGAAGCCTTTTTCGGAAACCGGCTTGTTCGGGAGGCTGAAAGTCGTCGAGTCTGCGTGCGAGACGATTCGTAATGCAAACAGCAACCGTTTTTAAAGGTGCTGGAGAGCCATTCTAATCTCGCTCAGACTGACGTCCGGGATATCATCGGAATAGTGTCGGGTAAGACTTGCTCTTGGATCGTTACTCACACTTGCGTGTGGCTCCAACGATGATGTGTACAGCTGCCCATAGAACCTCTCAATGTTACTCAAAATCTCAGGTGTCTCGGAAACGATGCTGCCACACTCAGTCTTCAGCTTTGACAGTTGGCTCTTTCTGGCAGACAGATCTCTGGCAAAGACTTTGGAGCCCTTGTTCCGCTCGATCGCTTCTTTAATACGAGCAGTATTAAAGTTGCGTAAGTCTCGCCGCATGCATTTGGAGATCTGTCTGTTCAGTTGCCTGTATGCTGTCAAATCTGTTGACGATTGCCGCCTCATCGCCCGTCTAACAGCCATGAGATTAAGAGTGTGATCGGAGAGTTTTGTGTTCTTCTGCGGCGGGTCTTGCAGAACTTAGCTCCGACCGCATGGACAGTTTCCACGAGCTTGTCATTCATATCGTCCACTGCATTGCAATCTTCTAGGCACTGAAAGCGGTTACGTAACTCGAGCTGAAAAGTCTCGGGATTCTGGATCAGAGCACGAGGGGGACGGAGCGTTGACTTCATTAGACGAGACCTCTCCAACTTAACGTTTAGGTTCAGTGTGCCTCTAACCATTCGGTGATCGCTGCCGGTTTTCACCCTTGCGATCACTGAGACATCACTGAACAGTTGGCGTCTGGTAATCATAATGAAGTCAATCTCATTTTTTGTCGAACAATCGGGGCTCGACCAGGTCACTTCCTGTGGGGTCGCTTCTGGATGAAAGAGTTCATCATAAAGAGTCCCTCTTTCTCCATAAAGTAGGCCAGCTGCTGGCCCCTACGGTTCCGTTGCCCTACTCCAAATTTGCCTAACTTCAGCTCACCGCCTTCTCTTGTGCCTAGTTTTGCGTTGAAGTCTCCCATCAACACCGTGTAGTGGGTTTTGGAGGAATGCATGGCTCTAGAAATATCCTCGTACATTTCCTCCACCTCCTTATCGGGATGTGCCTAGGTTGGTGCGTAGACCTGTATGACCTTCAGCGAATACCGTTTGGTGATTCTGAGTATCAGGTACGCGACCCTCGTCTCTTCTCTCTCGTCTCGTCTCGTCACGTCTATCTTTACAACGTTGTTGACGAGAGACTTTGGACGATAAATCCGACACCTCCTTGGGACAGATGTTCGCCCTCCCGGTGATAGAACAAATTGCCGGACTCGAGGATTACCGTGTCCTCCCCCTCTCTTCGGACCTCAGATAATCCAATAATATGCCAGTGCAACTTGTCTACCTCTTCTTCCAGCTCCAGTATCTTCTCGTCAGTCCTCAGGGTGCGTGCGTTATACGTTGCCAGGTCGAGTCGTCGTAGGTGGCAACCGAACCTGCACCGGAGATTCTTAGCACCCCCTGCCCCGCCGTTACCATGGTCGCCACCGTAGCCAGGAATAGCGGAGCCGCCGGGGACTGGGGCCGTTTATTTGCGTCGTTGCTCGTGGGGGGATATTTGCCATAGTTGCCATGCTTGGCGAGCGGGTTGGCAACCGCAGGTTTTTTATTATGTTATTGTTGTTATTAGGAAGATGCTGCTGCCCATCTCCTTTCTGTGTCCCTCTGTCGCCTCTTACGATACCCACGGGAAGATATGGGGTAGTGGATATTATCAACCGCCACTATATGGATTTTATACATAAATATAGTATATTTAGAAGGATCAGAATGTTATTCTTAACATTATGCCTACCTACCATCTACCTACGCATAGTGTAAATGCAGCGTATTATCTAAACGTGCAAAACCTGAAATGTGTATATTATTTTTTTTAAATTACATACATTATTTAATGAGTAATTTTTTTTACTTGTAACGTTATGTTTATTTTATAAAAGAATCAATAAACTAATTTGAACAATGTTGGCCTATTCTATTACATGCCAATGCTACCCCGACATCTCTAAATAAAGTAAAGGTACAGCCTATATAAGTCCCACTGCTGGGCACAGGCCTCCCCTCATTTTCTGAGAGGGTCTTTATAGACGTATTGGAGAAATTTAGTATGGTATTAAAAATCAAAAAGGTCACGTTTTCTTGTAACGTTTCAACGGCGAGGCTATATAAGTATACCATTTTTGAACGTACTTGTGGAAAATAAAAAATAAGAAAATGATATGTCGTCGAGGATTATCACTTCTTACATGTGTACACAATTACATGCAATATTTTTTTACTATTTTAAGCCAGCCCTCCTGTCCTCCTACATTGTACTACTCCTATTAGTATATTGTAGCAGTTTCCGTATTGTGGCGGTGTAAGAATACATTACCACTATTCGTCTCGTTGGTGTAACAGGCGGCTGTGGAATATTATGCCAAAACGATTTTATAGCTTTCGATAGATGGCGGTATACATCAGGCGTAAAATACCCGGACCGGCGACAAGAAGGTGCGAAACGTCTGATATTGCGATCAATCCGTGTGTCTAGAGCAGAGTTCCCCAAACTTTTTTGTGTCGTAGACCCCTTGCCATGTTTTTCTGTGTTGGGTAGACCCCCTACTTACCTGATATTGATTTCCTGTAAATTTCTAACTGTAGTGAAGTTTAGTGTTAAAAACTTAAAGTAAAAACACATGTTAATTTATACATTTATTAATTGAATTTAAATTAAAACTACTCAAAATAAAATTTTGTATCTGTTATGTAAAATATACGTAGCATTAAATAAACATAAAATAAACTACAAATAAAATAACATAAGCAATAAGTCAATATTTTTAGTGAGAATGATGAACCTGATGCTTTAATAATAAATTATCAACATTTGGCGTCAATTTTGTAAGGGTTAATCTTAAATCTCCTCGGCTAATGATGTCCAGTCTGTTTCTTTTTTTCGTTAGGAGATTGGTAACAGCGCTGAACCCCCTTTCCACTAGGTATGACGATGGAAAGGAAATTAAAAATTTCCTCGCTATATTCCATAATACGGGATAAGTAACGGGTATGTTGTTTTGCAGCCAGAATTGCTGATATCCGTTTTTAAACTGAACCTTAAGTTCTTCGTTTGTCTTTAGTTCAGTCAGTTCCTCTTGTATTATGACATTCGTTTCTTCTTCGCTTATTATCCACGGTGGTATTACCATAGTCAAAATATCCTCAAACCTAGATTCAAAATCTGAATAGAGGGCATTTAAATGTTGAACGTAAGTTGAAACGTCGTCTTCCTGGCAGCTTGTCTGTGACAAATTGGGGAACTGAGAAAATTCGCGCCGTCCAATATTTTGCTTCATTTGTTTAACTCTGGTAAGAAACGCTGATAAGATGGACTTTGTTTTAATCAAATTTAAACTGTCGCCTTGTAATTGCAAATTAATCATATTAAATTTTGTAAACAAATCTGTTAATTAGGTGATGTCTGTTTTCCTCTTCATTAAATTTTCTTTTAAAATTTTATCTTTAGTATTCAGAAATCCTAAAATAGTCTCAAAAAGTGCAAAAATCTTGTCAAACATAAGCCTTTCGACAGTCAGCGTACTTCAGTGTGAAGGAGAAATTGATGAAAGTGTTCGTCATTTTCTTCACACAACTGCGCAAATAACCGCGTATTCAACGCGTTGTTTCGGATTCGGTTTATTGCGTCAATGACTAAATGAAGTGATTCATGCAATCTAACACTCAAATTTTTAGCAACTAAATGTTGTCGATGGATGACGCAATGTATTGCTAACACCCCTGACACATTTTGTTTTAAATAGCTTATAAATCCACGATAACGTCCAACCATGGCAGTGCTCCATCTATAGCTACTGATATTATATTTGATAAAGGAATTGCTTTTTCAATGAAGTAATCCTTCAAAATATGAAATATTGATTCATCCTTTAGTGTCGGTTATCAAAGTTCTTGCGAAGAGCAGTTCTTCGTAGATTTTTTGATTCATAATAAAACGAACATATGCCAATAATAATGCTGCATTATCAGGTAAAGTTGACTCGTTCAGTTGTATAAATGGGTCGTTTGCAAATAATTACATAAGAAGCTTTCAATATCAGAACTCATTTCATCAATACATCTTTCAACAGTATTGTTGCTTAAGGGAATTCTTTTAATTATATCAGATGCAGGTTTGTGTAAAACAGTTTTTAAAACCTCTTCAACGGCTGGCAAAATTAACTTCTCTCCGATAGTATGCGGTTTTCCGGAGTTTGCTATAAGTAACGAGATATTGTAAGACGCCCGCAAACCATCATCATTTCTTTGTGACGTCGAAGCGAACATTGTGTCCAGTGTAGGTCTCTTCTGAAGTTTAGAGTGTTTGAAAGTATTTCAAATCTTTCTCTGTTTTATCAGGGTGGCATTCTTCTCAGATGATCTTGCAGTTTAGATGGTTTCACAGCGTCATTGCCCAAAACTTTGTTGCATAAAAGGCACATAGGCAATTGTTTGTCCGGCAATGATGGAATGAAGCCAAATTTCAAATAATCGACACTGTACTGTCTACATTTCTTTTTAGATTCGGACATGGCATCAGTCATCTGTGGGCAAAATTAAATTATTTAAATAAGACAGAAAATCCAGCTTATGTATATTAAAAATATTTTTTTATTTTTCCGAAAACATTCCATAATTCAAACATCTTCTTGCAACAATTAGGCGGATTTTACGGAGATTGCACTGTAATTATAATACCGATTGCTAAAACTTTCAAAAAGAAACTATTGAGGAGTACTCGTGTAATTTTGCATGACTGAATATTAAACTACTAATAACTAAAGTCATGTTTGGCGTAATTTATCTATCTTTGCTAACTACGAGTACGGAACTAAAATTTAATAAAAAATAATGTACTTACTTTTCCCAGCACTCTCAAACAAAATAACACTGAGTCACTATAATTTGTGTGATATACTATCTGTTTATATTTTTTAAAATATTTTCTTAGCACTTTCCTTTTCAAGATTCAGGAAACGAATAAACGTATTTGTCCCACATTCGTATTTATAGAGTGACGAATTGAACAAGTCAGTGCAAGGTAGCGAAGCTCTGAGACTGCGATTCTCAGATTTTTACAAGTTCAAAATATATTGCGACCACAAAGCGAATACTAACATCCTACAACTTACACAATTTTATAAACATATATAATAAATTTTTTACTTCATAGGTACCTTTATAAATAATGTATATGTTTTGATATTATAAGATAGTATGATGTAAGTAAATAGGTACTATCAGTGTATGTGTTGAGATCCACTATTGTGGACCCCCATTTTCATTTCATGGACCCCCATATTTTTTTCGCTGACGTAGACTGCTTGCAGGTTGTCATAGACCCCTAGGAGTCGATGTAGACCACTTTGGGATCAATGGTTTAGAGCGACGGTTATGAAAAATCCGCCCTTCGATTGGTGAGCTCCATGTCAAATTCTGACTACTGACTGATGAAGAATAAAAATGGAAGCAAATACCAATTGTTGAAAACTTGATGTAACTCCGCATGACGACTGCCTCAGATACAAAAGCTCTTGTTCAGATTTCACTCTCTTTTTATTAAGGTCGTACAAAGGTTTGCATTTCTTCAGCAGCTTGCATTCCCCGACGTAGCCGTTTGGCATTCGGCATTGTTTTTCTGAAAATAGGGGATGTTTTTTTTATTAGCTTCGCGTGCTTTTAATGTAATTTCCACCAACTTGTAGACTGCAGCTTGACTTGAAAATTTGCACTCGTATTAAAAACCAATGACAATACAATCTTAGTAGTGGTTAGTAAATCTTAGTATCCGGAACACCAGGACAAAATAAAATAACTACACGCTTTATATTAGCTACAGGTCAAGCTAATATAAAGCTTGTAATTATTTTATTTTAACCTATATGCATATATGTAATGGAATTTAGTAATTCAATTTTCACCCACTTCTTGAAGTATATTTGTTTTTTTTTTCGAATTCTAGAAGCTGATTTGAAATTTTGCAGGCGTATTAAGAACCGATGACAATACAATAATTTAATAAATTTATCTTAGTATTCTAGTCCGGATCACCATGATAAAATAAAATAACTACACGCTTTATATTAGCTACAGGTCAAGCTAATATAAAGCGTGTAGTTATTTTTTGTGTAGTTATTTAAACCGTGCTGTGACGGTGTAATAATATCCACTACCCTACATCGTCCCGTGAGTGACATAAGAGGCGACAGGTTACCCCTGAAGCAGTAGACGGGCAGCAGGTTCTTGCTGATAACAAATAAAAATTATAATAATGATTATATATTTACGCGAACACTACACATTTAAATAATACTAGTTTTTACGGATTTTATCGCTTATATTTAACTATAAATACCCGACGTTTCGAGCGCTTTACAGCACCCATGGTCATTTCATCTCAGTACCTCCCGTGACCATGGTTGCTGTAAAGCGCTCGAAACGTCGGATATTTATAGTTAAATATACGCGATAAAATCCGTAAAAACTAGTATTATTTAAAAATTATAATGTCCTCCAGACCGAATTTCGGTCACGGCGGTCTGCCTCAACGGAGACTACCCATGAGCGCAGAACAAGATTACTGCGTCCAAGTGTATGCGCAAGCACAGGTGCATCTCTATTCCCTCACTCTCATAATCCGATGGGACCAAAGGCTTTACTGCTTTCGGGGTTGGGACACCGCCAACTTCCTGACTTCGGGCAGCTAATGAGAATTTCTTGACGGAAAAACTCAATAATTGATGTTTTTGATCCGACCCGGAATTCGATCCCAGGACCTCATAATTAGCAGTTCCACTACTACAACCAATAGACCAGCGAGGCAGTCAAACACTGCGGTGGCAGCCTACCAAGTGTGGCTGTTTATGGCAAAATATTGCCTTGCCTATATATTCAGCAGCCAACTTTTATAGGCTGTAAATGTATTGTAATTTAAAGTTTCAGCTTAGTTAACTCAGAGGCTAAGCGTGAGCACTCACCTTAAAATTCATAAAACGAGAAAACTGAGTTCGATCACTGCCGCCACTGTCGATTACAGCAATCGATTTAGTTGAAAAATGATTGCTGTAATCGAACTCACCGTGTTGTAGCTGCGTAAAATCATGGGGCAGTGAATTTTCTCCCGTAGGAGTGGTATTTATGGGGTGGGGGCCTATCTTCTGCATTGGACATAATGGACATAATAGGATGTAATGACGATGATGACGGTGGTGATCAAAACTAACATTACACATTATAGGATCCCAATTAACAAAATTAAACCCAAACATACCACTGCAAGACTTCATGATACTATAAGCTCGTTTTGCGTAAATCGGACCAAAAATTAATATTAAAAAAAACTGAAGGTAGCCGGACTAACTATGACATTGGGACGTCAAACCTCTCAGTCCCCCCCGTGACCATGGGTGCTGTAAAGCACCCGAAACGTCGGGATAATAATAAAAATAAATTGAAGTAATTAAACGCGATAAAATCCGTAAATAATAGTTTTATTCAATGTGTAGTGTTCGCGTAAATTTAAGAAATCATTAACCATTGGAATGTTGCTTTAGATTAAGTTTATTTTTAATCACACTTCAACTAGCAACACTTCACCATAATATCTAACTTCATTTACCGCAACGGAAAAATATTAGAATATAATATATAAACGTAAAATAAATACTATTGTGTCATTTAATTTTTATTATTTTCTCGCCTGTTAGCTTATTATTCTTTAACATAGGAGCCGTCGTAGCTCAAGGACTGAGTGCTCGCTTTTAATTTCACAGTACGCGGGGAACCCGGATTCGATCCCAGCACCAATGAATATTTAATAAGTAATTAACAATTATTGCAATTTTAAGTGCTGATTTACCACGTGTCCGGCGGTGAAGAAAAACATCGTGACGAAACCTGCATGTCTGAGACAAAAAAAAAACAACTTTCATGCAGTTTAATATCAAGGAAAAGCACATTGAAAATATATCGATCATGTTACATTGTTGTAATTTACTGAAGGACCGACAATGATAATGCCACATGCTTCGTAAGTCTGATACTGTTAAATACCAAGGCGTCATTTTAGATTGTGAAATACTCGTAAACTGGCTTAGTCATATAGATTTGCTAGCCTCTAGGATAAGGAAAATTATTTGGGCGTTTAAACGTTTAAGGTATATATGGCTGATTTTGATACACTTCGCACAGTATATTACGCGCTTGCTCAGTCAGTGATAAATTACTGTATTAGATGCGCATAGATCGTTACTTAAAACAATGACCTTTAGTCCATCTTAGTCCTCTGGGGTGATAACGCATCTGTATTTCTGATTCTTAATCGAGTATAGATGTAGATGTTTGTAGGCCACTGACTGCGTGCTCATTTGTCACCCTATATTGGAACCTTTTTGAATTTCCCAAAGTCGCTTCTTTACGACACACAGAAATGTCATGGGATTTCACACACAACTACCACACGCCATTTTAAAACTTCAAATTACAGATAATTTTAATTTATTGTTATATTCCAGTATTTTAATTATGAATTTATTGTTCTTTTCGAAACTTTGAAATTACTTTGAATTTTCTCCAATGGTTAAATTAAAAATGTTTACGATTCGCTCATTATAAGTTAAAATGTATTGTCGGTGAGTCAGATTGTCATATTGTAACAACAAGTAGTTCTACTGACCTGTGCTCACAAATCCCGTTACCAAAAACAGAAGAAAACACGCAAAACTAAACTGCATTTCGGAGTATTTATCAAACTGTCACGATATTTTGCGAACTCGATATCGAAAATATTATTCATAAAATTTGCAGGTGCAGCTAAGCGGCCGGTCCGCGCCACACTGGGATCTTGTCAAACCGCTTCCAAACGAGCATGTAGAGTTCCTTGTGCTGATCGGAAAATTATAAATCTATAGTCTGTATTCGTATACTTGTATCGATGTAGTGTTTCCGCAACTTTATGTTTGCTAATAATAACATATTTGGAGCAGTGAGAAATAACAGATTTGGATCTCACTTTCAATATTTTGCATGCAAAACGCGTAGGTACTCGTATGTTCGACTAGCGCCTAAAAATCAAGAATCCTACGTTTTGTCGGATCAAGTCGTATCAAACAATCATATTGAACATATCAATGATATAAAAAGCAAATAGTTAGAAAGATAAATGATTGTTGAACTTATTATTATTATTTTTAAATCGATTATTTGCTACTTTTGGTGGTTTAGTGGCTTATGTCATAGATTTATCAAGTCCGCGGTAAACACGATAACTTTTGAAAATATCCATTGTTCAACTCGGTCTATTTTTAATCCCTTCATGTATCATGTGGGAAGCCATGGAATGTAAATGGCTGTTTAATTTTATTTTGTTCAGTTATAACTTATAATTCATTTTTTCAGCTAAGAAATTCCGAAAGTTTCGGTGTCTTCAGCAGCCTTGTAATAAAATATTTTACTAAATACCTTAGACCATTCAACCCAATGGACGAGTAATGCGCCAAATGCTACGAACAAAAAATTCTGTCTCTTTTGGTGCGGGGGAAGAAACACTACAACATAGACAGTACTGCATACCTACTCAATAAAATTTAATTTTTTAATTATTTAATTTTACTTACCTCAGAGTGTGTATTTTTAAATGGTAATGTAAAACATTGACTTTCGATAAGAATTACTTTTAATTTGTATTAAATAAAAAATATTCTATTATTATTCTATTCTATTCTAATTGTTTTTTTTTAAGTTAAAAATATTACCAAAATCAAGCCAAACAGTCTAGCACTTCACAACGTCAAAACAAATTTTACAATTCACTGAATTTTGATCGACTTTCCTACAATATTTCCACACATCACTTTGTTAGCGATATCTTGTTAATTATATTTCGTGCGGGATAGTAATTTTTTGTGATGGTAATAAAGCAAGAATATGATATAGAGCAGAGTGGGAGCAAGATCCTTTACTTTTATCGTGGATGTCCAAAGTTAAAGATAATCCAGACGTGGCCTTTTGTAAAGCCTGTAACTGTAACTGCAAATTCGCATCCCGTTGTCCGCTTTAAAGGAGCGTGTCACTACTAGTAAATATCAAAAAAAAATTCAGTGATCTCAGTTGGCACTCTTCGGTAATAATGCTTACTTAGCGGTCAGCCGCCGGAGAGTACATCACCTAAGGAAGCCTCGTGTAGAGGCGAAACACGTGTCGTTATATCGTCTATGGTGTGTCTTACCTGGAATATTGGTGTTGGAAGTAGTGGTGCCGGGAGTAGTGGTGTTGGGAGTATTGGTGCTGGGATTAGTGTACACGGGATTGGCGCACGCAATTGAGGGAGGGTGGGAGGTGCTCTTCAATCCAGGTAAGGCATATCATTGTATTTAGTTAGCGGAAGGTTGCAAATTAATTAATATCTTTATTATAATGGGTTTCCGCAAAGTAACGCCTTATTCTATCAATAGTCTTCGGTAAGTTTAAAAAACTAAACTGATTGTAATAGTTATATTTATTTTTCACTACGTCGAACGTCGTATCGCAGTGCTAAGCTAATATTTGTTTATTTATTTAATCTTACACCCACAGGAATGTATGTTGCATTTTAAAATATATTCACTGAATTATTTCGAGTACGAAATTTTCCTTGAAAAAAAGAAAGTAAAAAGAAAGAGCTAAACGTCTGGTTCTTTGGTAGAACACAATTTGTCGTATTGTGTAATGTGATGAAATGTTTAATACAATGTTTAATAAAGTTACAGTATTTAGGCATTTTTCACTACAGAATTTGGCAGGTTTTTAACCAAAGTAAGGCAGGATCTGTATTTTAAAGATGGTCACACTGTTTACTGTATCGTTTGTTTACAGCTCAGCGGCTCGTGATGAAAAATATCAATGGCTATAGAAATACAAAATATTCCTAATCAAATTTGGTACATGTACCTATATGTTGTATACTGAACCGAGGTAAGTTATTATTATTATTTTTATTGTCACAGATTTTTATTACAATATATTGTTTCCCTAAAAGTACATAGGATGATGAGGATAGGACCTACTACCTACCTAAAAATTAAAGTAAATATTAAATTTGATCTATGATCGTTTTAAGGTAATTCTGCTAAAAGTTTTTTCAATTAACAATAATAAAAAAAATTGAATCTCAATAATAAATAATATTAACATAGTAAAATAAAAAAAAAAATATTTTCTATTGTTGATTGAGCATTATGAGTCGTGCAGTTTTGAATTTTCCAAACTTTTTTTATTGACGTTTAACGTAAAATTATCGTAAAATAAGAAGTAGTAGGTAATAGTAATAAGGTTATTTGTAGATATTTGTGTGTATTTAAAATACTTTATAAATTGACGTGTAACATGAGCGCTTAAGGCATGCACATTTATATTTTCCAAAAGTTTTTTTTCTGTTATTGCTGGTGCCGAGAACGTGTTTTTTTTATAAATCATATACACTTTAAAAATTTACACTGTAAAAAGTCCGTAGTGAAATTCATTACGCCATGTACTGGAAAGGGCAAAACAACGCAAACTGTCGTTAACGTTAACCTCTGATATTATTATTATTATTGTATAGGTTGACTTCAATCACCACTAATATTTAGCGCCGGATGAAGTGAACGTAATTTTTAAAATATTAACGACTGCGCACGCTTTACGTTAATGCTAATTGAGCGTGAGTAATAAATGCAAGAATGCAAGGGACTTACAGCGCCGTTACGCAATGTTATTTCGTGTTATATTTCCTTATTTAGTTAACTGTGTCTGCTTTGTATAACGCTATTTTTGTAATGTAGATAATGTGTGCTCTACGGGTTCTTTGTATTTATACAAAAATTAAAAAAAAAACACAGCTTAAATTATTTAAAAAGGAATGACTTGTAAATGCATACGTTGTAGAGCCATGCTGCAGTTATATTATTAGTATAGTTGTAACTTGTAACACGAATGGGTCGGTTCGACCGAGGAAGGACCACGATCTCAGAATACCAGCGTAAAATAGCAGATTAACGCTGATATGCTTCGTATGGTGACTGTAGAGAACCGGAGACCCTTTTTACTGGAAACGGGAATTCCATCTTAATCTTAAGGGGGGGCAACGCATCTGTATTTTGATTCGCGATTGTGGATATATGTAAATGTCTACGGGCCATGGCATCCATTTACCATCAGGTGAACTGTGCTCGTTTGATACCCTTACCCTAATGCACTGAAGATGAGATGCTGTTACCGTCACATCCTATGAAAGCCCACTGCTGAACATAGATGTCCCCTAATAGTTTGCTTAAAATGATGTAAAAAAACAGTGTGCTTTTATCAACTACAGTAGTGACACGTACGCACGACACATTCACGCACGCACGCACGTACATTATGCACGTTTCACTTATTTTGCGTGAAACATATTCTAATTCGAAAGTGTTATGTCATCTAGACTTAATAAAGTACAACAAGACGCATAACTATTTTATTTTTGCAATTTTTGTTTATGTTTTGTACAATAAAGTAATATTTTATTATCATGTATTATTATTACAAAAAAAAAATATAAATATAAATTTTTGGTTTGGTAGCAGGTATTCTGTTAAGTAAATAAATCTATAACGATATACTAAAAACTTCATGTGTAATGATTTCTTATATTTACACGAACACTACACATTTAAATAACACTGGTTTTTATGGATTTTATGACGTATATTATTGACTTTTTTATATCCCCGACGTTTCGAGCACTTTACAGTACTCATGGCTATTATTTATTCCTACGTTTAAAGTTTACACGTGGTACGTGTTAAGCCAAAGCTATTCTTGGATTGGAAGAGTAAATAGCTACTGAAACCGATGTTTTATGTTACAATTGGTGAAAAACAAACAATGTGACGCCTGAACATATTATTTGTTAGACATTATTTAATAATCAAAATGAGCACTGATCTGTCCTGGTGGTATGGTTATACATACATAATACATAAACACTCACGCCTGTCACCCAGAGGGGTAGGCAGAGACTACAGACTTCCATTTGGCACGATCCTGACACACCTCTCTCGCCTCTTTCACATCCATATACCTACGCATACATGCTCGTCGGTTAAGGGTACTTCTAATTTGGCCCGTTTTCAATAAATTGCTAATTTGGTCGATAAATTTTCGCCTACGACGTCCCTTTCCGACTCTACCATTCACTTCTGCAACACAAATTTTCTTTGTCACTATTTCCTCATTCATTCTTTCCACATGACCAAACCACCGAAGCATTCCTTTCTTAATCCTGGTCACAACATCATCTTGCAAACCACACTCTTTTCTTATCACACAATTTCTCACCCCGTCATTCAGATTCAGCCCTAACATACTCATTAACGACCGCATTTCTACTGCGTTTATTCTACTCTCGTGCTTCTTCTGCCACACCCAACTTTCACTACCATCCGTTAAAGTAGGGACCAACACAGCATTGTAAATTGCCATACGTGCCTTTTTTGACACATTCTGACTCTTCACAATGGAGTATAGGGACCCATTTACTCTATTTCCTGCGTATAGTATGTTTATCTATCTATCAAACTCAGTTTCATTTGAGCTTGTTCGCTAATGACTGGCTTATAATTTTTTTTTTATAGAATATGGGTGACTAACGAGCATACATTCCACCTGATGGGAAATGGATACTGTGTCCGTTGACTACATCAATCCTCTATAAAGTATCAAAGTGCGGATGCGGTGT